CCCTGTACCCCCAACCCTCAGATAGCCATCAGTTTGCTCTCTATGGTTAAAAGAATCTGTTTCTTGGTTTGCCTCTTCTTCCCCCCTATGTTCATTTGTTCTGTTTCTTAAATTCCACACGAGTGAAATCATATGGTATTTGTCTTTCTCTGACTGACTTTATTTCACTTAGCAAAATATTCTGTAGCTCCATCCACATCACTGCAAATGGCAAAATCTCATTCTGTCGATGACTGAGTAATATTCCATTGTATATAAATACCACATCTTCCTTATCCATTCATCCAGTCAGTGGACATTTTAGGCTCTTTCCATAATTTGTTATTTTAAATAATGCTGCTATAAACATCGAGGTGCCTGTATCCCTTCAAATTAGTATTTTGGTATCCTTGGGGCAAATACCTACTAATACTAATGCAACTGCTGAATCATAGGGTAGTTCTGTTTGTAACTTTTTGAGGAACCTCCATACTATTCTCCAGAGCAGGTGCACCAGTTTGCATTCTCACCAACAGGGCAAGAGGGTTCCTCAAGAGAAATTTTAAAACATATTGAATTAAATGGAAAGTGAAACACAACATACCAAAATCTTTAGCATACAACTAAGCAGCACCTACAGGAAATGTACAGCACCAAATGCTTACATTGGAGAAAAGGATCTCAAATCCACACTCCAGGCTTCCACTTAGAGCAATTAGAAAAGCAAGAGCTAAATCAACTCAAAACTGCAAAAGAAACAAAATGGTAAAGAGCAGAAATCAAAGAAATGAAAAACATAAAGAAAATATTAAAAAGATCAACAAATAGACATTTTTCCAAAGAAGACATATAGATGGCCAGCAGACACATGAAAGGATGCTCAACATTGCTCATCATCAGGAAAATGCAAATCAAAACCACAATGAGTTATATCACCTCACACCTGTCATAATGGCTAAAACCAAAACCATAAGAAATAACAAGAGATGACGAGGATGTGAAGAAAAAGGAACCCTCATGTACTATTAGTGGGAATACAGACTGGTGCACCAACTGTGAAAAACAGTATGGAGGTTCCTCAATAAATGAAAAACAGAATTATCATATGATCCAGTAATTCCACTACTGGGTATTTATCCAAAGAAAATGGAAACACAAATTTAAAAAGATATGTGCACTCCTATGTTTATTGCAGCATTATTTATAAAAGCCAAGATAAAAGCAATACAATAGAAAATTACTCAGCCATCAAAAAGAATGAAATCTTGCCATTTGCGACAACATGGATGGATCAAGAGGATATAAGACTAAGTGAAATAAGTCAGCTTGAGGAAGACAAATACCATATGATTTCACTCATATGTGGAATTTAAGAAATAAAATAAAAGAGACAAACAAAAAAACACACAGAGAACAAACTGGTGGTTGCCAGAGGGAAAGTGGGCAGGGGATGGATGAAAGAGGTAAAGAGGATTAAGGAGTACACTTACCACGATGAGCACTAACGTACAGAATTGCTGAGTCATTATATTGTACACTAGAAATTAGTATACACTCTATGTTATTACTTGAATAAAAAAATAAAGTGAACCATGATAAATTTTTTAAAAAGATCAATGAAACCAAGCTTCTAGCAGGACAAAGAGAAAGAGAGAAAATATGAATTACTAATATCAGGAATGAAAGGGGATTATCTCTACAGCTTCCACAGACATCCAAAAGATAGCAAGGCAATACTCCAAACACTCCATGCACATAAAATCAATAACTAAGATGAAATGGACCAATTCCTCAAAAACCATAAACTACCAAAACTCACCCTGAAAGAAATACAGTTGATCCTTGAAGAAGCCTAGGGTTAAGGATGCTGACCACAATGCAGTCAAAACCCATATAACTTGACTCCCCAAAAACTTAAGTACTAATAGTCTACTACTGTTTACTAGAAGCCTACTGATAATAGTTGATTAACACACACTGTCTTAATAGACAATGTTTAGAATTAAATTTAGTTTATAATTAAACTACATTCTTACAATAAAGTATGATGGAAAAAAGTTATTAATAAAATCATAAGAGAAAATGCATTTACACTACTGTACTGTATTCATCAAAAAAAAAAACAAAAAAAAAAACCCAAACACCCTATATATAAAGTAGACCCATGCAGTTCAAATCCATATTGTTCAAGAGTCAACTGTAGGTAAGCTGATTGGTCCTTACTGTTAAAGAAACTGAATTTTCAGTTTAAAAACCTCCCGGGGGGGAAAAAAAAATCTCTAGATGCAGATGGCTTCACTGGTGAATACTATCAACACTGAAGAAGAAAATAAAATCAATGTTAAACAATATCTTCCGGAAAAATAAAGAGCAGAGAACACTTCCAAATTCATTTTATGAGACGTTACCTGGATACCAAAACAAGACAAAGATAATGTAAGAAAAATACAGAGCAATATAAATGCAAAAGATAAGTGCAAAAATCCTCAACAAAATATTAGAAGTCATAAGCCAGTTAAGTTAGAAATAGCAAAAAGAATTTATACATAAACATACCTACATACACAGACACAGACACGTATAGAGAAAATAAAGGCACACTTCAAAAAGCACTGCAAAGTTAACACTCTTTTCCAAATCAAAATTCTTCCCTTTAAGGGCGAGAAGACCTATTCCTAACAAAACTCTGAATTCTTCAGTATATCTAAGTAAAAAGAATTCATTCCATTACTGTTGGAATAATTAGTATCAGTGCTAATTTACATCCAGCAACATTTTCTTCTCACTCACTAGCTCCAGGAGTTTGCCTTCACGGGGCAAAACCAAAAGAATATACGCCATCCTTCTGGAAGTAGCATTTGGTTTGAGGATGGGCACAAAAGCCAATTTGAGACAAGAAACAATGAGTCAACGAAGTTTCTACGAAAACCAAGTGCTCTCTGCTCTACAGATGTGGTAGTACGTATATATACAGCTTCACACTGAGGCAGCCGTCTTGCTAAGAAGCCAGCCTGAAGATATCAACACACAGAGGAAAACGGAGAAAAGACATAAATAAAAAGCTTAGTTGGACTCCCATCTATGCTAGGACTTCATTGAGCTGATTAAATTTACTTTAGTTTAAGCCATTTTGAAATGGATTTTCTGTTATCTGCACATAAAGAATCCTATGATGCCAAGGACTAACTAACCAGATAGAAGTCAGAGGAATGCTTATTTCAGTTACCACATAAAAGAATTTTTTAATAATTGAAGCTAGTAAAATGGAAAAGAACACGTTTTTAAGTTCTTTACCATGTAATCTCAAATACTGTAAGTAAAGTTTCAATACTCGCCTGTATGTTCCTACCATAATACAGAGGCTAGACTTTTGAAGTTTCTTTCAATTCTAAGATTCTGATTCTTAAAGACATACTGAATTTGGGACATCAAATGAGACACTCAGAACTATTACCACTCAGTTAGACTTCTCCTAAAGTAAAAGGAAACAAAACAAAAACAACACAAAACAAAATAGGGGCAACTGGGTGGCTCAGTCAGTTAAGCGTCAGATTCTTGTTCTCAGCTTAGGTCATGATCTCAGGGTTTGTGAGTTCCAGCGTCAGGCTCAGCGCTGTCAGCGAGGAGCCTGCTTGGGATTTTCTCTCTCTCCACCTCTCCCCTGGTTGCTCTCTCTGTCTCTCTCTCTCAAAATTAATAAACTTACCAACTATTTTGCCTAGGACCCGTATCCATTTGACAAATGTTAATACAGTATACGTTCTGAGAAATACAGTTTAAAAAAGAAGTCGAAAATTAACATGCAACTTTTATTTTACACATTTATACTCTAATCCTTTAGAAGGACTAACAGTTTACCAAAGAGTTTAATACTGAAAAAAATATTTACTTGAAAAGAGGATCTAATTTTAATTAACCATTAAACATAAAATGTCTTTTCCTGCACTAATGTCTCACACTGTGGCATCCACAAAACAATGGGAACTTTTCCATTTGTAACCTTTGCTAAGGAACTAAGTTCCTTAGTTAACTGTATTAAGGTATTTCTGGTGTCTCTGACAACCTAAAGAAAAATTTTTTCCATTATTCCTCGATTCCAACATCTCTGAAACCCAAGAGAAATGATCTTTTCAGGCATTTTATGTTTTACAGAAAATAAGCAAGCAACAAATTACAAGAGAAATCATAGCATTAGAAAAACTCTTTCAAATGTCACGAGGAAAAATGCCGTGATTTAGCTTACTGTGGTGGCACGTTACAATTAGCAAACATAACTACGTTGCATATAACTAGTACGTGTGCCTCCCTACCTCAATATTTTCTTAACTTCACCTATTATTACTTAAAAGATACCCATTACATCAAGAAAAATTGAGAATGCGGGAAAGAGGTGAAGACTGTAATAAATAACAGCTTGATGATTCTCAAGACTTATCCTTAGGTTAAGTAAAAGTTGTTAAGTACTTTTTGAAATGGAGAAGTTTAACAAGTAGAAGTGAGCTCAAGAGACCTAGAAAGTTAGAGTGAACTCAGGCTGAACACAGCTCTTCCCCAGACCTCCATCCACAAACAAATGAATCTTTCCCTTGGAATTGTGAGTGTACAGTATCACCCACTCACCTTACCAACCAAATCACCTTGGGCATGTGACTTTTTTATATATACAGAGCACTACTGCTTTCTTTCACGTCTCTTCCCCCTCATAATGCGGGGGGTATCAGAACTGTGCTGAAGAAAGAGAATTACAAATAGGTACCTAACTTCCCTGACATTAAAGAAAAAAGTGCAGAAAAAGCTTCAAAACACTGATAAATGACTACAACATCTGTAGAGGTAGAAAATCTACCACATTATCTGTATATTCTAAAGCAACTAGCATGAAATCTTGACTGAAGCTTGCAAAAAAAAAAAAAATACATGTTGCTTCAAATTATAATAGAAATGTTCAGGTTTTAGAAAGTACTTAAGAACTTAGATTCCATTTTAAAGATGGATACAGTAGTTAGAAGAGGTAAACTTACCAAAGATATTAGTGGAGTGTCCTTTCCTTGCAATGGGTCTGAGTTCATTATGTCCCCATCCATATATCCTATAATTATCCCAGGCATGTTTCATCATCTGAGAAAAGAAAAATTATAATCCATCAATTAACATCACTCACAGACCGTTATTTCATCGATCTATATCATCTATCACTGCAGCCTTACCCATTCTTCCTGTTATCTCCTGTATCAGAATATTATTCTATTAACATTTTTTACTAGCGTGATAACCCACATCATCATGTTTAACCTCAGTCTACACAAGAGAAGGAAAACTTGGGTATAAAAGACAAGTTCTTTTTATTGGGGAAGAAGGTGTCTGTTCAGCACTCTTTCCTTTGAGGAACTGCCAATTCTTTGGGGAATAGCTCCCCTTCCCTCCCTGTGATCACGACGGCACTGTCAATCAAGGGGCTCTGATTCCACAACCAATTACTAGAGAACTCCTTACCCTTAGGCTGAAGATCAGCAAAATCCTTCTTTAAAATAAATACTTCAGGCTTTGCAGTCCATACCGTCTCTAGCAATTACTTAACGCAGCTACCATAGCACAAAAGTAGCCTTAGACAATACATAAACAAATGGATATACCTTCTCCAACTAACTTTTATTTTTAAAAAATAGACAGCAGGCAGAATTTGGCCTGTGGGTTGTAGTTTGCCAACCCTGACCTAATCACAGTGACTAGGTACCTGTGATTCAAGTAGTGGCAATCAAGTCCTTTTATGCATATTGTTATAGACACTAGGAGATAAAGGGACTCTCTCATTTTACAATCTCAAGGTCTGTGTAACACATTATCTTGGGCTGATGGGGGCTAACACTCTCCCAACATGGAGATACTAAACGAAAGGATAAAATGAATATTATTGCCAATAACACCTACAGACTTGGATTTAGCCAAGCTCGAAGCCCTAGTTTACAGCCACTTAGCTAGTAATTTTCTTTTTATATCAACTAGTTTGAACTATCAACTAGTTTGTTAATTATACAACAGGTGAATTATTTAATAGTGGACTGTGGTATATAAAAAATCTTTCATTTAACAGTATATCACTCATTCAAATATTCCTCAACTTGCTTTTTTACAGCTTGCATTATTCACACACCAAAACCAGACAAAGATATTACAACAAAACTGAAAACCAGTGTATCTCAAAAACAGATGCAAAATTCCTTAACCAAAATTAGCAATCTAGAGAGGATACTACATAATGATCAAGTATAGTAACACCTAGTTTTAACGTAGACTAATTTAACATTCAAAAGCCAATCAACAGAATCCACGTTACTAGAATAAAAGGAAAAACATCATACGATCATTTTCATAGAGGCAGACGAAGCACTTGACAAGATTCAACAGCCATCCATAATAAAAACTCTCAATGAACTATAAGGAAATGCCCACCATCTAATAAAGGGGATCTTCAAAAAACCTACAGCTGACATCATACTTAAGACTAAATTCTTAACCCTTCAAGTTGATAACAAATCAAGTATGTCCATTCTCCACATTTATTTTCAGTAATGTACTGGAAGTCCTAGCCAGTGTAACAGGAAATAAAAGGCATAACAATCAAAAAGGATAAAGGAAAAGCACCTCTATTCACAGAGGACATTACTATGTATAAGGAGAATCCTAAGCAATCTAAAAAATAATAATAATAACCCACTAGAACTATAATGACTTCAATAAAATTAACAGGGATACAAGTTCAGAAAACTAAAGTCAAATATATTTCTATATGCTAGTAATAAACACCAGAAATGGAAATTAAAAAACAAGTTCATTTATAATAGCATCAAAAAACATGAAATATTTAGGAATAAACAGAATATGTGCAAGAAATTATATATGAAGAACTATAAACACTGACAAATTAAAGAAAACCTAAATAAGTGGAAACATGTAACATGCTCATGGAACACTGGATACTGTTAAGATAACAATTCTTCTCAATTCATCTACAAATTCAGTAAAATCCCAATCAAAACCCAGCAACCTTTTATTTTACGTAAAAAAGTGAATTCTAGAAAGGCAAAGTACCCAGAAACACAAAAACAATTTTTAAAAAGAACCAAGTTTGAGAATTTAACCTGATTTCAAAGCTTACTATTAAGTTAAAGTCTTTAATACTGGCATTAAGGATAAGTATACAGATTAATGGAACAGGTAGGAATCCAGAAAGAGCCTCAACATCTACTGAATCTGTCATTTGATTTTAAACAAAGTGCCAAGCATGAAAAGATGCTCAACGTCGCTCCTTATCAGGGAAATACAAATCAAAACCACACTCAGATATCACCTCATGCCAGTCAGAGTGGCCAAAATGAACAAATCAGGAGACTATAGATGCTGGAGAGGATGTGGAGAAACGGGAACCCTCTTGCACTGTTGGTGGGAATGCAAACTGGTGCAGCCACTCTGGAAAACAGTGTGGAGGTTCCTCAGAAAATTAAAAATAGACCTACCCTATGACCCAGAAGTAGCACTGCTAGGAATTTACCCAAGGGATACAGGAGTACTGATGCATAGGGGCACTTGTACCCCAATGTTTATAGCAGCACTCTCAACAATAGCCAAATTATGGAAAGAGCCTAAATGTCCATCAACTGATGAATGGATAAAGAAATTGTGGTTTATATACACAATGGAGTACTACATGGCAATGAGAAAGAACGAAATATGGCCCTTTGTAGCAACGTGGATGGAACTGGAGAGTGTGATGCTAAGTGAAATAAGCCACACAGAGAAAGGCAGATACCATATGGTTTCACTCTTATGTGGATCCTGAGAAACTTAACAGAAACCCATGGGGGACGGGGAGGAAAAAAAAAAAGAGGTTAGAGTGGAAGAGAACCAAAGCATAAGAGACTCTTAAAAACTGAGAACAAACTGAGAGTTGATGGGGGGTGGGAGGGAGGGAGGGTGGGTGATGGGTATTGGGGAGGGCACCTTTTGGGATGAGCACTGGGTGTTGTATGGAAACCAATTTGACAATAAACTTCATATATTGAAAAAATAAATAAATAAACAAAGTGCCAAGGTAATTCAATAGGAAAAGGATCATTTCAACAAATGATGCTGAACAGCTAGAAAGCCCTACAGGCAAAAACTGAAGTGCACCCTTACTTCAGACAATAAAAAATTAACTGGCAACAGATCACAGACTGAAATGTCAAAACTAAAACTTAAACATGTACCCACACAAATACTGACACACAAGTGCTCATTGCCAACTTTATTCCTAATAGCCAAAAACTGGATCAAATGTTGAACAACCATTCAACAGGTGAATAAATAAAACAAACTACGGTATCTGCATATAACGGAATACTGTTAAGATAAAAATTACCTTCATGTGCAATCTACATAGATTGAATCTCAAAAAAATTATGCTGAGCAAAAGTCCAGAAACAAAATATCACATACTTTATGATTCCACTTCACTGAAACTCTAGAAAAGACCAGTCTAATCTGCAATGACTAGAAACAGATCAGTGGTTGCCCAGGACCAAAGAGTAGACTGACCAGAGAAGGGCACAAGAAAGCCATTTTGAGACTGTAAACATATTCGCATCTTGATAATAGTTGCTGTTATACAGGTGTATACATCTCTCAAAACCCATAACCAAGCAGTACTCTTTTATATTTTTAACAAGCAGTACTCTTAACAACAGGTACATTTTATTGTATACACATTACGCCTCAGTAAAGCTGATTCTTAAAAGAAATCTAATAGTCTGCCATATCTTCCCCACTCATAATTCCCACTCTCCTGGGGCAATTAAACTCTTTCACCTGTTTTTTTCTATCTAAGACTATATTCTGAAATATAGTCTACAGTGCTATTTCAGCATTTAGATATTTACTGTACTCTCCTATAGTTACGGTAATTTAGCTTTCTTATGCCACTACTATCTCCACGTAAACTTCCCCACACTGATTTCTCCTGCCCACATCCTCCCAATTTAAATAACAACATGCTTTTCTTATAATTATCACACTATTTTATTCAACTTTTGTTTTTCCTGCTGTTACCTACTTGTCTGAGGGTTTGAGTTTCTTTGTTTGCTTAGGTTTTTAATGTATCGATTCTGAATTTACTTCCAAATTATACTTGAGCTTCAAAACTTGTCTCAGTATAATCAAACACACCAGATAAGACTATCAGTTCCATTTTATTCTCTGATGTACCAATCCTTCCTGAAGCTCTCCACCCTCCAGCTCTAAGCTCTGCCCAAAGCACAGCAGTCACCCTGCTGAGTCCCTTATTCACCATCCGGAGAGCGCCCTTCCTTTCTCTCTCTAGTGACAGATCCCCTATTGCCAAAAGCCCTTCTCTTCCTATTTTTGTGCTGAAGCATATTTTCCGATAGCAATCTGAGAAAATGACTAAATTTACTCTCAGATTTGATTCATAAATTGGCCGAATAGATCATTCTTTCTAAGCCATTGCTCCACTCTCTTCCAGTTTCCAAAATTGTGACTGAGGAATCTGAGGTGCCATTATGTACGATCCCATCTTTTGAGTGGGGCCTTTTTTTTCTCCCTAAACTTTTAGGATCACTATTATTATTATTATTATTATTATTATTATTATTATTATTTTCGAGAATGAGTGTGCATGTGTGTAGGGGGTACGGGTAGAGAGAGACAGGAAGAGGGGAAGGGGGGAGAGGGAGGGATGGAGGGAGATGGAGAGAGAGAGAAAGAAAGAGAGAGAGAGAAAGAGAGAGAGACAATCTTAAGCAGACTCTATGTCCAGCACAGAGCCCAACACAGGCTTGATCTCACAACTGTGAGATCATGATCTGAGCCAAAATCAAGAGTTGGACACTTAACTGACTGAGCCACCCAAGTGCCCCTAGGATCTGTTTCTGAATGCCTATTTTTCTAAAATTTCAGTAGAAGTCTCTCTTTTTGTTTGTTTGTTTGTTTGTTTGTTGCTCACTGTTGTTCTATGCCTGACAGGTCCTCTCAATCTGTAAACTCACATTCTTTAGTTTCAGCCAATTTTCTTAAATTGTTTCTTTGATTTCTTCTCCTCCTTTTTCCTCTATCTAATCACCTGTTAGATGTTCTTGACTGATCTTATTTTCTTGTTTTCTCAATCTCTTTGTTCTACTGAGAGATTTGCTCAATTGTATCTTCCAACTCTTCTACTGAATTTTAAAATTCTATCACACTTTTTATTTCCAAAAGCTCCTTCGTATGCTATAAACGTTCCTTTTCAGAACTTATTTTTCTCACTTTATGAGTTCCATTTTTTGTCACTCCAATGATGTTAATGCTTTTGTTTTTTTCTCCTCCCTGTATTGTTTCTGTATTCTCTGAATTCCTTTCTTCCATCTGTTTTATTCTCTAATGTGAGAAACTTTCCTGAAATGCCTGGTGATCTTTGTTCTTCACATAAGAGGGAAACAAATGATAATTAAAGGCTATCAGTAAACAAGCAGGACTTGAACTGAGCCTCATCTTAGTTAGGGAGCACAGGTGACACCCAGTGGTGTTTCACTGAGGAACAGTGTAGAAGACTCTTTTGTCTTGGGCCAGTCTCTTCAAAGAGAAGTCATCCACTCTCCTGCTTATTAAATACGCACCTGGCTGTCAGAATTCTGAGAGCTCACAAGAAAGCAGTCTTAATATATTCAGAACATTTTTCACTTAATTCCCTCCACCTTAGCCACTTTTTTTGTTTTCCCTCAGCCATACCTGGTGTTCCCCAAATCCAGATCTTCCCTAATTCATCCCTCCAAAAGGTAAACTTTACCGTTCTGCTGGGGAAGGGAGGGCAGCAGCTAGGATGCCAAAACTAGAGAACCGAGGATCTAGGAGTTAAGAGCACCTCTTAAAACTTTCAAATAATCCCTTTCCAATTTCATTATACCCCTGCCTTCAGAGGTAAACAATGTCTCTAATTCTTGACATGCTCAGGTATCCTGCCATTCATATCACCTTGCCCCTTGTTAGCTTCTTTCACCACCAGCTTAAATTTCAACTTTCTCTGTGTGTTAAGCCAGTATCGATAATGTTTAATAGGAGCCTATACAGGCATTGGCTTGTAAAAATACCGGATATTGTGGTGTGCTCTAAAGGGTTAACTCACCAGGTCTGAGTTGTCCAAACCCTGTACATCCTAAAGAAAGATATGTCCTGTGCCAGACTCCTGGAAAATAACTGCTAAAATTTTATTATCCTGTCTGTCAAGAATATCTTCATTTAAATGAAGCTTTGGGCCATGTCAGTTCATGTTCACAATGTGATTTATGGTGGCAGCCTTGGGCCACATGGTATCAGCCTGACCTTTGGAGGACTTGAGAGAACTAAGTTCAGCCATGCCTAAAGAATGAATCTCAAATAAAAACCCTGGACACCAAGGCTCAGGTGAACTTCCTTGTTGGTGATATTTCATACACAGCATCACACAACACTGCTGGAAGAACTAAGCGGTGTCCGCCAGAAAAGGACAACTAGTAACTTGCATCTGATGTCTCCTGGACTCTGTCCTATAAGCTTTTTCTATTACTAATTTTAATCTGTTGCCTACTGCTGCAATAAACCAAAATCATGAATATAACAGCTTTGCTGAGTTCTGGGAGTACTTCTAGCAATCACTGAGGCTGTAGGTGGTCTTGGGAGTCTTCTAAACACACACTGTTATTTGAATTATTACATACATAAGAAAATATTTCAATAAATTCTAATGACATCTAAAAAAAAAAGTCAGGCATCTCAAAAAACAAACAACAACAAAAACCCCACAACAACCTGTCAACATTTCCCCCATACAGTCTAAATCCTTTAGCAGCCAGTGCATAAAACAGACTCCAGGATCCAGAGTACAGTTCTATTTCACAATTCCATCAAGGTCAAGTTCTTACACTAATTCATAAGGTCAAGCTTAAAGAATCTACTAAATCTTCCATGTTCATTATTAGAATATATTTGAATACATATCTGACTATTTGAACTAAACTTACTGTCTTATTTTATGATAAACAATCCCTTTGAAATATTGTTGATGCTGTTACAACCTGACAAAATCTTTTTTTTCACAGGCACTGCAACTGCAAACTCTACCAAGAATTAGCAGGAGTTCTAATTGACAAAATTTAACTGTAATATTCACCAGACTTTCCCCTCTCTGTTATTGTCTTTATCTCCAAGTAATTCCTAGAATAACAAATTGAAAGACTTCTGAGATTAAACAATTTAAAGAATTCTGAGGTCAACCGCTTCCCATTCCTCAATCCATTGAGACTGTTTGGAAGGAATCTGCAGCGTGGTTGAGGGGTTTCATGACCCATTCCTTAAAAGATGGCAGATATAATGTTAACTTTTCAGGAGCATGTTTATGAGGAGATTTGCATAGTATCTAGCAGAGTCCCTTGTAAGTAAACCCTTAAGAAATTTCCTATTCAATGATAAATTATTTACAGATCTAGTCTACATTATTTATAAAATGCTGACTATCAAAAGATCTCTCAATACAGAATGGTATAACAATCCAAACATTATACCAAAATTTTAAGTGTCCAATAATATTACAATCCATATTAAGAAAGAGTGAGTTCTAGCCTTTACTGCCAACTTGGAATCTGAACCACGACCATGACCCAAAAACAAACAAGAAAAAGTATGACACGATAGATGATACAAATGTTCATATATATTAAAATCCAGTCAAATGCCATAACCATTCCATATCATAAATCTCAGCTTATTACCTCTTTAATTTTTTCCCTTTTCTTTCTTATGTCATTATCTTCTGGGTCTCCACCATCTATTCCTATTAGATTTGGTATAGGGACTGGTGGCAGTGGCTTCTTCTCTTTTGTCTTCATTTCTTGGACTACCTTATTTTTCTCTGTCTGAATTTCTGCTCGGATTTCCTCTCTCGACTTTTTTAATTTTTCTTTTGCTTCTTCCAGGGCCTTCTCGTGATCAGCTCGAATTTTATTTCTCAAACGTTCTTCTTCTTCCCTGTGAGAAGAAAAAAAGACTAGTTAAGAATAACCCTTAATTACTTCAATATAAAATTTAAAGTTTCTACCAAACCCTGGTAGATGTTTTCTACTCCTGCCATTAAAAGGTAAGGATGATCTGTGAGAGACCCAGCTCTATCTGCCCCTACAGGATACATGTAACTTGGTATAAGCCCTGGGTGCTAAACAGTAAACACTCTACAAGCCTGGAGAAGAGGGAACCTAGAAAGAAAGTTACAATTGCAGGACCAAAAGAGCAATCGGTAACTTGTCAGGAGAGACATGAAAAAGGAAAAGTGGGAGAAGGAGAGAAGGGAGGGGGAGAGGGGCAGAGGGACAAACCAGAGAGTAAACTAGATGGGGGAGAGAAAACTAGTAACAGAATTAAGTATGAAGAGGGGACAAAAATATAAATATGGGGTCAAGGAAAAGAGATAAGTGGAAAAGATAAGAGCTCAGGAAATTTTTCATTTGTTACATAGTACAAGACATGCTTCTAAAACTTTCACATTTTGGAAATACCATAGATCTTAAAACACAATTCCCAACTGATGTGGGCAGAATGCTTAAAACTCCCTTGAGCCCTCGTTAAAAATACAGATTCCAATTCGGTAGGTCTGTATGAAACCCATGAATGTGTATTATTAAGAAATCCTCTGAGGAATTCTGGTATGCACACAGATTTGGAAACCACTACCGCAGGGGACGCCTACAGGGTCTTTCACCCAGCCCTAGTTTTGTGAGAGCTCGATCTTCTCTCCACACATCTGCCCCAATCCACACGAATGAATACAAGAGTGGTAGTTACTATTTTCCAAATCAGCCAATGATGACTCCTCTAAGGGTAAATATCTAGCTCCACAGTCAGCAGAGTCCCCTCTCCAGAAATTTAATTCAAACTCTGCACGCAGCTGGATCCACAACATTGCTGGTGGGAATATAAAATGGTACAGCCACTCTGGAAAAGGTTAGTGATTTCTTAAGAAACTAAACACGCAACTATCACAAAATTCGGCAACTGCACTGGACATTTATCCTGGAGAAGCGAAGGCTTATGTTGACACAAAAACCTATACACAGCCCATGGCAGAAAGACAAGAACTGTATGATTCCACCCATATGAGACACTCAGAGTAGTCAAAATCCTAGAAAGGAGAACGGTGGCTGCCGAAGGATGGGGGAAAGGGAAATGGGAAGTTCCTGGTTAATGGGTAGAGCTGCAGCTCCTACAAGATGAAAGAGTTCTGGAGATGGCGGCTCAACAATACGACAGCATTTACTACCACTGCACCGTATGCTTAAAAATAGCTAAGGTGACAGATGTTACATGTATTTTACCACAATTGCTAAAAATTGGGGGGGGGGGGGGCGGATCCTATACAGGAAAGTCGGTGACGGCTTTACCCATAATAGGCAAAAACTGGAAACAACCCAGGTGTCCTCCAACAAGTAAATAAACAAACCACTGTTTCTACTTGGTATAGCCACAATATGGAATACTACTTGCAATAAAAAGAAATAAACAATTCATCTACACTTGAATGAATTTCAAAGGTATTACTATGTGAGTGAAAGAAGCCAGTCTCAAAAGGTTACATTCTAGATTTTTTTTTTTTTTTAACGTGACATTCTCAAAAAGACAAAAATGTAAGGATGGTGAATAAATCAGTGGTTGCCAGGAGTTACGGACGGGGGAAGGGTTGGCTATAAAGGAATAACACGAGAGTTTTTTGGGATGATAGCATTGTTACGTATCCCAATGAGAGTGACTATGGGAATATGTATGTGTGTTTAAAAATCACAGAAGTGTACATCGAGAAAAATATCAATTTACAGTCTAATATTAAAAATTAAATTGTTAAATGTTTAGAGAAAAAAACTGGATTGCTAGCAGTAAGAAGGGGTGATGAGGAAAACATGAGAGAGAAAAGAGGGGAGAAGAGCAACACAGACAGTCAGGGCAACACAAGGGAACTTGAGGGCAGGGAGAAAGCAGCCATGGGGCCTGCAGACAGACTGGAGGTGAGAAGAATGCAGCAGGGGGGAGCCAAACAGAGTCTCAGATAACAAGGCAGACGCAGGCAAGCACCGCCCAACAGCCTTCCAGTCCCCCTCCCTCCCCTTACGACACAGAAACCCTGTGCCTAGCCCCAGAGAAGAGATGTGTCTATGCCAACCAAGTCTTTCTCACACGCCCCGGTAGCTAGGGGTGGTCGCAGAACCTTATTCCAACTACAGAGACAAAAGAGGACTACTGGGAAATATTTTCCTTTGGGGATTAAAAAACGGACAGAACGATTTGAGAAAAGAGCCTGTTAGCTACTAAGACCAAATCTACCTGAACACAGATTCCAGTCTCCAAATGTGGCTGTGACGCCTAAAGCTATGATAGTCAAAACGCAGGAAGCCTGGGGACAAACGGCCAACACGGCTGAGAAAAGAGAACAAAGAGGTAAAGTGCCTACTGATATCACTGGGTTGCTGCCAGGGCCTTTACCGGTCAGTCCCATAATTTCAGACAGGGGGGTTGAAACAGTGGGGTGTTCTTTCACTTCCATCTAAGAATTTTTCCAAGTCACTCATTCAGTGAGCAGACAGGTACATGGTCAGGAAGGCAAAGGCCTAGGACTAAGCACCAACGAAGAAGCACATCAAACAGAGACGACCAGTTCTTTCAAGGGCAGTTTCTGTCCTGATGACAAGTGGGAGAGTCTCTATAGGGAACTACACTTTCCGCCTCTAGCTCCAAGCACCATGTCACCACTGAATGGCACACGGAAGCCCCCACCATGTTTGCAGTGGCTCATCTGTGCCATCACTGCGGAAAGCATCTTCACACCTCCACAAAGTGCACCTCCACAAAGTTGGGTATTACATGCCACTTTCTAGAGCCTACCCTGGGAGCAAGGGAGAAATACGGGCCACAATACATTCTATGTCCCTCTCCAAAGCTTCACAATGCACAGGGGTATTTTAAAGGCTCTGAGAAGTCCCGCAATAAAACTGCCTAACACCTCCTAACTTTATTTAGTCACAGTCCCCATTTTCTTCACACACCACTTTTAGCATGCCATGAAACACGCCGCCACAGAAGATAGCCCTCCAACTATGCCATCAACCAAACAAGCCCTTGGGAGAACCCTGCCACTTTTTTGCTGTGTGGCATTAGATGGATGTCACCTCTCTGAGCCTCCTTTTCCCCACCAACCTCCCAAGACTGTTGTCAGGAGTAGATGAGATGACACAGGAGTCTAAGAGTATAGAAAAGTCTTTATCAACTCAGTTTTCTTTCTTCCCTTACTACCTACCCTCCCCCCCCCCCCCCCGCCCCCGAGCCATTTAACGATTTGGGCTAACATCAGCACTCTCAGGTACCAGGACCAACACCCAGAGACATCCTGCAACTTCTCGGCTTCCCTGCACTGAATGACACAACAGCTTCTGGGCAAACCTACAAGGACTTAGAGGGCACCAAATGCTCTTAAAATGGGGCCAGCCTCCTGCAGAACTAGGAGAGAGCTGTGCCCTTTCTCTTCCAGCCCTGACTCCTTTGCCCATATGTCCATAATACCAGTTGGGGCCTTCAGGATTACCTTAGAAATAATAGTGGGCATGAGTGTAGAGAAACTTATTTTCATTTACTATTCTTTAAATGCTAATATCTATTATTTCTCTGAAAGTGAAGAAGATATTTGATAGCAACATATGTGAACAATTTTCAAATTATACTTTAAAAATTATTTTTAAAAATAAAAATTGAGGACACCTGGGTGACTCAGTCAGTTAAGCATCTGCTTCTTGATTGTGGCTCAGGTCATGATCTCACGGTTGTGAGTTCTAGTCCCACACATCAGGCTCTGCGCTGACTCTCTCTCTCTCTCTGCCCTTCCCCTGCTCGCTCACTATCTCAAAAATAAACATTTAAAAAATAATAATAAAATAAAAATAAAAATTTGAACCCTCTAAATTGCAGTACTCTGTACAAAAGCCCCAGTCACATTATTCCAGTTCATTGTTAATGGCATCCAAACGGTGTTCACTAGAACCTATAGACATTGGTTCACCAGAACATTGTGCAGAGCTTTATTCAAAAACATTTTGAAAATCTAAAAGACCTATAAATTTGCATTTGTCCCAAATAATTATTTGTTTAGCAATTTAGTGAGCATAGTCACCACAGAATAAACACCATGAACTGAAGTGCAAAGAAAGACCAGTCTAGTCCCTAAGAGGAACTCCAGAGTCCAAGGAATTGAGTCAGACCTCTTGTCAATGGGGTGCCAAGAAGAACTGTTTTATAGTTGGGGAGAAAAAAATACTCAGAGTAAAAGTACTTAATCCAAAAGTCAGGAGACAATTCTCTTTCCAGCTCTGCCCCAACTTACTCTGCAATCTGGCACAAATCCCTAAAAACCTCCAAGATCGGTATTTTTGGGGAAAACACATATTAATACTACCCTGACTACACCACTCGGCTAGTGATATCCAAGGTAAGTAAAAGTATTCCATTAATAATATCTAACATCCTAACCTCTCTGCTAGTTTTCTTCCATTTTTTATTTTCATTTCATCAGTGTCCTTTCAAGGGGCACCTCAAATTTTTAGTGGCCAAATCTCTAGATGTTTATAGCAGCTGAATCAACTCTTTCGGATGTTTATTTTCACCTACTTGATCTTTTACTCACATATTTTCAAGATTTTTTTAACTTTGATATCTTCAACAGATAACCATGTGAACCTCCACCTGTGTATGTCTGTACCTTTCCATCAGTGACTTGTATCTTTTTGTTTAGTAAAGAATCCAGCCTTGTCTAAAGGGAAGTCTGGCCTTTGTCCTCAATTTCTCGCATACCTGATGAAAACGTCCTTGTGTATGGTGGGTGCTGGCCACATCAGACAGTCCCAGAGGCAGGGCTGGCCACTCTAGAAACACCAACAGTATGACTTAGGGTGAGGGTTCTGGGTCAAACGGTTTCACGGAGACTGACTTCAGTCATG